GCCCCCCCCCCCCCCCAAGACTCGTCATACCTGTAGAAAGTGATATCTTCTCCCTTCCTGTGCATTCTCGTCTGCTGAACTCATTCACTACCTCTCCGCCTGAATGTCCGCCATAATCACACTTAAAATGCTCGGCCCAGAATTCAGGGAACCACGGGTTCCTCTTGTTGTCGATGGGGTTTAAACTGAGTGAAATTCAAAGAATAAACTGCAATTACAACTCACACCCACCCTGAGCTTCAGAGATAACTTGAAACAAGGCTCTCTACGCTATTTCAAAGTGTAACCTTTCGGGTGTGCATGCCCGTAGCCAGGTGGGGTACACGGGGTTCGAAAGAACCGCCCTTTTTGTCAGGAAAAGGACCATTCCGGGTAAAATTTGATCTATGTACACAAGAGTTTCATTGTAAAAAGTCCACTTTTTCGGAAAAAGAACCCCCCTTTTGAGATTGCTGGCTATGGGCCTGATATGATTTTGTGTAAAGGTCTGTTTCTTGTTATCTCTGAAGCCCAGTTATCTCTGAAGCCCGGAGTTATCTATGATAAAATTTCCCTTATACTTCCTATTTTATCTTCGAAACACAATTTAAATGGAGACACCAAATACGTAAAATGTCATTTTTTTCTTACCTTGGTTATTTCGTAACGATAATTTGTATATCACTGTGCAGTCTCAAGACCTAGAGTGAGATTTTGCACAATAAACTTTACCTGGTAAAATAGTCATCAAATCCCGGTAGTATCTCCGCCAGAGGTTGTACAGTGATTGCGTCCTCGACCACGTGTTCCAGCTCCTCTACCACACTCTGGCGGGCGCTCCAGGCGTCACTGCCAATCCATATCAGCTTGTTGCGGCGTTGCCGTTTCCCGTTCAGTGTACTGTTTACGGCCGCGAAAAGCGCTCTTGCCTGGGGAGTGTCGAGGTAGAGAACAACCACTGAAAAGATGAAAGGAAGCCTAATCCAAGATAAGAATTGATCGAAAAGTGTACCTTGGTTAGTTTTATTTATAGGCCTATATTTTTATTTATATGTATTATTTTTTATATATTATTTATGTTATTTATATTAACATTAAAATTGGAGCATCTACGACCACTTCATAACGGATAGTTACAGTAGTTGTAGAATATAAAGTATGTAGGAGTAAAGTTTGATTATTGTAGCGTAAATTTCTGTGTGCGAATGTGATTTAAAGTCTGTAAGGTACCTAAATTTTCAAAACAGGCACCTTAATGAAGTAGAAAATGAGATATCCTTAGACTGGGAGAAAATGAACACAATGCAAATTGGATCATTAAATTGTGGAGAGCTGAGGAAAATATTAAGAACAAGTTGACTGCAGGTAAACTGGCTTAATTTCGAAAAGTGAATTTGCTTGATGATGATCTTGAATATAGTTGAAATGAGGTTACCAATTGACGAAGGCAATTAATCGCACAGATAATTCGTATAAATACATGTATAAGTTTTACAGTCTTTCGTAAAATGAATAGTGATTCAGCTTCTGGTTGTGAAAAATTCAGGCATGAATCTGGTGACTTTTTATTTCTATTGCAATCATTCATAGGGAAATTTTGATACTTTTATAGATAAGAAGAATAATTGGTAACTTCAACAAGACAACATAGGAAGACTTGTAACTTGATGCACTACCTTATAATTTGATTATAAATATAGGCCTATGAGTAAATTTTTTCAATATTTTTAACAACTAAGAAAATCCATGCTTCTCTGGTTATTTAAATGTTAAATAAAAGAAAACTCGCTCATTTCTTGTTTCTTATGAATATTGTACGCCTGTTTTATACACCTTCTTTCCCATCCTGATATTAAATTTCTTTATCGATGGCAGGGTCCATATCTTAACATTCACCTCTCGCGTTTTGTTTTCCCGTAACCGATAAATTACGCCCTTAAGCTTGTTGTGCAAAAGCACCTTTCCCTCTGTCAACTTCATTGTTTTATGAATCACTCCTACCCATAAACTCCTGCTCAATGATCAGAAATGACAATGCAGGATAATGCGTTCTGGTTAGGAATTTCGCACTTCACCACATAGAAAATTGTCAATCTTAAGACATGAACCTTTAATTCTGAAGATAAAACCTTTACTAAATTCTTACCTCGCGCTTCTTGTTTCTCAAACAACGCCTCCACAACATCCCTGTAATTCCCCACATTAGGATCCACTGGTACCTTGAGCCGAAGGGCAAAGCATATCTCGGCCTTTTCGGCCCTCTTTTCCAGCTCACTGAACCCCTTCAGCCCGTAGTTGGAGTCCACGTACACCGCCGAGATGTACGTCCATTGATTCTGCCTGCAAACGACACAAAAACGTCATGGGAAGGAGTCATTTTCTTTTTACCTTTTGTACTGTTAGTAAAATGTATTTTCAACTGAACAAATGGTACAGTTTTACTTTTTCAAATTAAAACAGAACACTTCACGTGATTTTTTTTCTCTTACATTTACAAATAATTTAACAATTATATCGAGTTTTTTAAACAACTGATGACATACTTTGACAGGATAGTTTTAAAGGCCTACCGTTATAGTGTCCAGACAAATCACACAACTTAATTGATCCGAGGATCAGCTAGTCCGAGGATCAACTTGGTTGTGAACACAACCATAGGGAGCATTCAGAATAATTTGGCGTACGGACTAACAGATTCTCGGATCAAATATGGCCGACCCACTTGAAAGTTTACCGCATAATACCCCTAATAGATACTGAAGAGAGTCTCTTCGGGGATTACGTAGTAAGCTTTCAAATGGGTCGATCATATTTGATCCGCTGATCTGTTTGTCCGTGGATCAACTTCGTTTGTGAACACTGCCATAGATCTACGTACTTCAGGAGCTCCACAATGGCCTGGGCCTGGTTCAGGTCAGACGGCACCGTCCTCTGGAAATATGGGAACCTCTCCTTGTTGCTGAGGTCGGGGCTGGTGGACAGGTAGCTGATCTGAAAGGAATTGAGGACATTCAGAACAGCGGACTAACTAATCCGTGGATCAAATATGGCGACCCACTAAAAAGCTTGCCGCTTTATTACAGATTGGACACTGAATAGATTCCCCGCAGAGGGAACAAGCATTCAAGTGGGTCGGCCATATTTGACCCGCTGGTCTGTTAGTCCGTTGTTCTGAATGTGTTCAACGATCAGATTTGACAGTGAGGGTTAATGCTTTCTAGCGAGTAATTTCGCGCTCCTTAAGACATTTAAGACATGAGCTTTTAAATCTAGAGGTCAGTTTCATGTCCACACACCATGAAGTAAAGGATGAAAACAAGACAAAAAAAAAAGACGCCAAAGCAGACAACAGGGAGAGAGAGAAAGACAATTCTGACATACCATACCTGTGGCACCTTGAATAATTGCAGCAAATTAGCCACATATATAGACACTGTACTTGACGCCCCTCCCACTACGCCAACCATCTTGTGGAAGTCCACCGACCCTGGGACAAGCTTGGGTTTGGTCCCGTTCGGGCACGTGTACGACAACCCGTCATCCCCGCTTATCCTAGCCACCAGGAGTTTGACGAACTCCACCGACTGCTCCAGCGCGTATGCGGTATTGTCGCAGCTGTCTAGAGAGACGGCGCCAAGGCTGAACCCGGGGAGGAATGAGGAGTCACTGTTGATTTTGTCTACCGTGTACATCAACGCTTCTAAAGGCTGGATTCCGTCCTGCTCCTGGATGTGGCCGCAGTGAGAGGAGTGTTGCGTGGAATCCGGGTTACTGGCCGAGGCGTGGACGGGAAATATTGCACCGATCAAAACGTCGCCGGGTATTATTGCGTACCGGTTTGGCTCACCTAACACAGCGTGTTTGAATAACACGTGGTGGGTCAGGATCATAACTGTGAAGATGAAATGCTGCAGCATGCTTACTGATGTTCGTACGATACGTTACACTAAATCACTTTCAGGTGTTCTCTTTGCTTTGAAATATGAATTAAACTTTAAGGACGGAGCTTTTGTTGGGAAAACTTGCAGTACAGTCGAAACTCCCATTCAACCTTTCAAGCTCATGAAAAACTAAAATACATCCTATTGCTGGCTGTGTTGTATATATTCTTCCTTTATGTGTTGTACTGAGTTTCTGAATCATGATAAATTCAGAATATACTATATTACTTGACGACTCCCTCGGTGTCTATCACTCTCTGTCTCTTTATATCGGGATGTTTGTTCTGACTGTATAATTCACTACCTTCTGTTATCGCATCAAGCGCAGGGGCAGCTCTCTTTCGCTATAAATATGACCAACACTGCAATAGAAAGACCAATTAGCTTTATCTTTACATCAATAATACTAAAAATTATCATCGCATGCACTTGAATGGGAGTTTACTTTAAATTTTATGTTGGTTTGATCGTATGTGGATATTTATGGTTGCATACTTCATGTTGTAGATGTTTCAGTTCCTGCGGAGATCGATCAGCAAAACATGAAGACTGAAGTGGCTTTCTGTGTAAGAGTTAGTATGAACCCCGGGGCATTTCGACCTTCGAGTCATCCAATTTTAAAGCTTAAAGTCAACATTTCTAAGGCAACATGGCAAGAGGAAGATCAAGTGGTTCTAAAACGGGACCGACACGTTTGCCCCACGTCCCTTACAGCTGCTACTCACGTTATTCTAGATGGATTAAATCAATTCCATACAGAGTACGCACACGCGACTCTTGATAAGCTATATGTATACATGTAAGTGCACTAAACCACTTTGACTGCATTCCCACAGATTTAGATCGATCCATCTGGATCGACCTAACTCCCTGGGGGTTCACGCTAAATTGCTGTCAGCTGAGCGCGCACGGCAGTTAATTACCCCTTACAGCTTTTAGTAGGCGGGGCAGATATTTAAGCCGGCTAAGCTGACAGTAATCTACTGAGACTCCCCACGGGGATAAATCGATCTAAAATCTGTGAGAATGCAGTCTTTGTGTCCTTGGCTGCATTCTTATCGTGATTTCAAGCTCTTCGACACAGTTTCAAGTGACTCTACATGTAATCATCTGTTTAATTTGTCACCAAATCTAGAAGTGAAACTCCTGCATTGTTGAGACCAAGATATTGCTGTAGCAAAAGGGGTTATTCGAAGTTAACGATTCTATCTTTGACCCGTTTTGTTTTCTTTCTTTCCTTATTCTTTTTTTTGTGTGTGTGTGTGGAGGGGGGACACACCAGGCGCTTGTCTTTTTTCTTACCCTGAAACTTCTGATTTAACCCTTTCGCCCTCTTTTCTCCCCCCCCCCCCTCCCCTCCCCCCCCCCCCCC